ACTACATGTAACTGACCAAACATGCTACATATTGTTCCTGAATCCACTACATGTAACTGAGCAAACATGCTACATATTGTTCCTGAATCCACTACGTATAACTGAGCAAACGTGCTACATATTGTTTCTGAATCCACTACATATAACTGAGCAAACGTGCTACATCTTGGTGCCGTTGGATAAAAGATTAAAACATACCATGACCATGTGATTACGTACAACACCTGTTCTTCTTTTGAGGAAAAGTCATCCTCTTCCCTACAGATAATTGGTATCTTCAGTCTGTCTTAACAAAGGATTTTTCTTAATAATTCCCAGGTATAAAAGTTTTGACTTATTTTTCACAGGTGTTGATAGTGTGAAAGCACTGGCTTTCCTATTCGGATCCTACCTAGCTTGATTCAGTTGGTAAAACCAAATTACTTGTACTTTCCAGATAGTATTAAACCCTATTATTTTGGCTAATGTTTAGTCATTTGTACTAGTAGTACAAGTAGTTCTTGTATTACTATCTCTGTTGAAGTTGAAATGGCATAAAGTTGGCTGAATTAATTAAAATGTGAACGGACAACCAATAAGAGGAAATATTATAGTAGAAAAAGTGACGACAACCAATAAGAGGAAGTATTATAGTAGAAAAAGTGACGACAACCAATAAGAGGAAGTATTATAGTAGAAAAAAGTGACGACAACCAATAAGAGGAAGTATTATAGTAGAAAAAAGTGACGACAACCAATAAGAGGAAGTATTATAGTAGAAAAAGTGACGACAACCAATAAGAGGAAGTATTATAGTAGAAAAAGTGACGACAACCAATAAGAGGAAGTATTATAGTAGAAAAAGTGACAACCAATAAGAGGAAGTATTATAGTAGAAAAAATGACGACAACCAATAAGAGGAAGTATTATAGTAGAAAAAATGACGACAACCAATAAGAGGAAGTATTATTGTAGAAAAAGTGGAATTATACTTGTGTAAGTTACAAATTAAAAAAAAATCGAGCATGACTGACCGAGACTTGGCTTTTGTATATATATATATATATATTGATGTGATCCAGATTATGATAACCCATATGCATTAGCTTGTACTTATATATATTTGTCTAAGCTACTAGTTAATTCATGTTATTCTGTAATAACTCAACATCTTCAATACAACTAAAAATATCCAATACTTTAACGTCATCATCAGGAAATGGTACTGGGGATACCTTTTCACTTTCAATGTAAATATTTAGCACCGACACATGAGATATTCTACTCATAACAAGGGCCCAATTTGACTAGACTCCTCTGTTTGCTTTCTTCCATCCAACAACCCTGTAATTGAAATAATGAGTCTTTATCAAACCCCCGTCAGTGTGAGTGTTTTTGCTTATCTTTTGTGTGGCATCTTATCAAAAGCTTTTCAAAAATTATCGAGATAAGAGTTTAGTAAGGCAAGATTTCCCTCTGGGGAGGGGGTGGGTCATTATTAGCTTTCATTTAGGTTATCACATTTAACTAAATGATTTTGTAAAGCTTCTTTTGTTAGACTCTTTAGAAGTTTTCCTTCTACAAAAGCAAGACTAACTGGCGTAAAATTTTGGAAGGAAACTCTTGTCTCTTCCTTTAAAACCAGAAATAACATAATTAATTCTTCAGTCTGCTGTCTATTGACTTAAAAAAACACAAAAATCTTGTCTTGTTCAATAACATAATCAATTCTTCAGTCTGCTGTCTATTGACTTAAAAAAAACACAAAAATCTTGTCTTGCCCTGATGCTATATCAATTTTTAATTTCCTCATTCCTTCTATTTATCATCAACTACAGTAAAAGTAAGTAAAATGTTAAACGTGGACAAGGCCCTTAAAAGATGCTGATGTCAAGATTTTTGTAGAAGAATATGGAATATTTCAGTTTTTAAATATTTCCTAGATGCTAAATTTAGAATGAGGTCACTATGACCCCTATACCACCTGGTGTTAATGTTTGAAAATTTAACTCTGGCATTCTATGGTTAATATCTACATGTTTCATGTCAGATAAAGAATTTCTTGGCCAGGAATTGTGCTCGTATTCACTCTAGTTAAAACGGAAGGAAACGTTTAAAAACCCAACCATTCCATATTCTTCAACAGACAGACATCTTGACATCAGCATCTTTTAATCATCTGTTAGTCGCATGGGGTAGTTTCGAACCCACGTATGTTTGTTAACATTGTCACTTAGAGATTGTAACACTGAGACAGTTGTTGTTCACGATACCTTCCCCAACTCTCTTATAGAGTGAGCACCTAGTTCCTCCTTTTGCCTCATTGTTTTTTTTTTATGAAATTTCAAATTATATGTTTTTTTTTATTCCTGAAGATGGACAGCAACACTAGAAGTGAGAAGATTAGACATTTTCATTGATGTTAATAAACTAATGATGTTTTTTTGTTCAAAATAACTTAATAAGATGTTTAGTTAAAAAACATATTTACTTGACTTTTGGAATGATGTTTTTTTGTTTTTCAAATATAATATGAATGATTCTTTTATAATAATTTCATTATATCTCTATTAACACTACCCATACTTTACAAATTAAGTAAAACTTATGGAATCAGTCGCAAGACGTTTAACTTACAAGTATACATAGACTTATTTTAGTTTTATAATAAATTGTGTTTATTATCTATTTTTTTGGGGTGGGGTGAGACCCAACCTTGTGGTACTAACGTAGGGTTAAGGACCCAGTCTTTTTTGAGCATTTAGCTTACCTTTACAGTACTTTAAAAAAACTATGTTGTTACATTTAACATCATTAGCCAGCTCTTCATCATGACCCATTTTCGATTTTCTAAATGTTTTGCCATTCCTGGCAATTTACATTTAATTATTTCAGATATTTTCTTTTTTTAAGCCAGTTGGGTTTGCCCTGCCCTGTTATCCTCTCTCACTCTTTAGGAAAATCTGGAATTTATAAATTAGCTAAATGGACTTAGGGGTATTCTCCCCCTGAAATGTTTATAATTGTTTATAAAGACATTGAATGATGTTTGTTTGTTTACTTGTCTTTAAAGACATGTGAGTGGTGATTGTTGTTTTATGTTTGTTTATTTACTTGTCTTTAAACACATGAGTGGTGACTGTTGTTTTATGTTTGTTTGTCTATAAAGACATTGAGTGATGTTTGTTTGTTTACTTGTCTTTAAAAACATGTGAGTGGTGACTGTTGTTTTATGTTTGTTTGTCTATAAAGACATTGAGTGATGTTTGTTTGTTTACTTGTCTTTAAAGACATGTGAGTGGTGACTGTTGTTTTATGTTTGTTTGTCTATAAAGACATTGAGTGATGTTTGTTTACTTGTCTTTAAAGACATGTGAGTGGTGACTGTTGTTTTATGTTTGTCTATAAAGACATTGAGTGATGTTTGTTTACTTGTCTTTAAAGACGTGAGTGGTGACTGTTGTTTTATGTTTATACAAACATGATGAAGAACAGTTGCTCTTAATCTTGACGTTCGATCTATAAAATATATACAAACATGATGAAGAACAGTTGCTCTTAATCTTGACGTTCGATCTATAAAATATATACAAACGTGATGAAGAACAGTTGCTATTAAATCTTGACGTTCGATCTATAAAATATATACAAACATGATGAAGAACAGTTGCTCAAAACTCTGTTGTTAAATGGATGTATTTTTATGAAATTGAAAAGTGTTCTTTTGTGTAGTAATACAGGTTTCAATGTCCTGTGGATTACTGTTTTACCCTAAAACATACAGTTTTCCTACAGAGTTGGTAGAAATCATGAGATTAAATTTTAGTCATTGTTGAACAGAATTGCTTACAATAGTAACTACTTATAAATTCTGAAAGTTGTGATGTTCAGGAAACTAAGACAAGCAGAAGATAATTGGCTAACCTTTAGTTCGGTATGTAAGGTTAATGAGTTGGATTTCAAGTGTGGGGAGGTGTAACCAACAAGAATATTATTGTTAGAATAAACACAACCTTGTGTGTGGTAACGAGAGATAAATTAGGCAGTTATCTGGCTATTGAAATATTTATTTTTTTGTAGTACCAACTGCTCAAAGTCAGTAGTGCCCTCTACAAAAAGACTGACCCTGGATCTGAGAAACTTAAGAATTCTAGAATTTAATTGTATTTTTCATAGATTTCAGTAATAATTTTGAAAAGTAATTTTTTTTTTTAAGGTACAGAAGATGCTACCTTGGATCTACTTTGCCCTTTTTGATGGACATGCTGGCTCTGGTGTAGCTGTTGCAGCTTCTAACATGCTTCATAAAATAATTGAGGTGCAGTTGTTATTGTAACATATTGTTTAATATAGGTTTCTATTTTGTTGTGATCTTACGGTGAGTAGGGAAGCCTACTGTGAGCGTTAAAATGGATTTTTATTAAGTTTAAGGCAGTCAGGATGACATCTGGCATTGAATATGGTAACTGTTCTAAAGAGGGTTGAGAACATTGCATTAAAATTATTTAAATATTCAAATTAGCAAGTTAGAACTAAATTTGGACATTGTCTGGCATTTCATAGATTGTGTGTTGCCACCAAATATTTGTCACTTTTTGGAAGGGTACATCTGATTCAAAATAACCATACACTTAGATCAGAGAAATGTGTTCAGTTTGGGATTTAGAATTTTAAAGATGGGGAAACCACTTCTAATTAATGGCATTGGAAAACCAAGGGAGTATAGATCACTAGGGGACATCAAGATAAGTTATTCTCTGGTGCATACCTCAAGCAGCTGGAGAAGGATATGTTAGTCCATACAAAGGCATATTGGTCATGTTGCCAGTTGCTGGCAGCTCGTATACATTTCTGTAAATGTACTGTTGAAATAGTGTCTAGAAAGCTGTCATCCTCATACACTAGCGGGATCATGGAAAGCATGCCAGCAAGGGGATGTTCTTTGAACATGACAACATCATGAGAAAGTTTTGCAGTGGAAACTATGCTGCAGGGCCATAGTCAGGATGCATCAGATAGAGCATGACTGGATGTGGCAATATGATGTAGTGAGACACCAAAATTGTTTTAATATAATGCTGTCAACCTTTGCATAATGTTGAAAACGTGTGGAAAGAATGCTAAAGTGGATTTTAATTATTTCAGTTGAAGGCAGTTGTAACATCTGGTGTTGAATGTTGTAACTGTTATATATAATGTAATGACCTATAGAACATATGTACATTTGAGATAAAAAAACCGACTACCTTTATTATTTTCTTGTTCTGGTTCAACATATATATTTATTTTATTACTGCAGGAAAAACTAATGAGCGTGATTGACCTTTTAATACCATCCCCTGAATTGGAGGTTGGGTCTGGTGAAGGATCTTTATCATCAACTTTATTTATGGGCTCTAATGAGAAGAAAGTTAGCACTGATAGCCTTATTATCGGAGCTTTAGAGTCTGCGTTTTGGAATATGGTATGTATTCTAACTTGTGAAACAAGACATGATTTTTGTTGGAATATGATACATGTTAAAATGTGGAATAAGTCGTATGTTACAAGTAGGTATTTATATTATTGTAATTAAACTATACAGGACACACTGTTTCTGTTTATATTATTGTAATCAAACTATACAGGATCCACTGGTTCTGTTTATATTATTGTCAGTAAACCATACAGGACACATTGGTTCTACTTATATTCTTGTCAGTAAACCATATAGGACACACCGGTTCTGTTTATATTCTTGTCAGTAAATCATATAGGACACACCGGTTCTGTTTATGTTATTGTAATTAAACTATACAGGACACACTGTTTCTGTTTATATTCTTGTCAGTAAATCATATAGGACACACCGGTTCTGTTTATGTTATTGTAATTAAACTATACAGGACACACTGTTTCTGTTTATATTCTTGTCAGTAAATCATATAGGACACACCGGTTCTGTTTATGTTATTTTAATTAAACTATACAGGACACACTGTAGTATAGTTTTAAACTATACAGGGTACACTGGTTCTGTTTATATTATTGTCAGTAAACCATATAGGACACACTGGTTCTGTTTATATTATTGTCAGTAAACCATACAGGACACACTGGTTCTACTTATATTATTGTCAGTAAACCATACAGGACACATTGGTTCTGTTTATATTCTTGTCAGTAAATCATATAGGACACACCGGTTCTGTTTATGTTATTGTAATTAAATTATACAGGACACACTGTTTCTGTTTATATTATTGTAATTAAACTATACAGGACACACTGTTTCTGTTTATATTATTGTCAGTAAACCATATAGGACACACTGGTTCTGTTTATATTCTTGTCAGTAAACCATATAGGACACACTGGTTCTGTTTATATTCTTGTCAGTAAACCATATAG